CCAAATAACAGAATGTGTCTGCATTATAGAATTAATGCTGATTGATACCACTGGGCTCAATGGTACTCAGTAGTGGGAGTTGGTAGTCTCGTGAGGTCCTTTAGGCTTTTGTATCAAAGGGTTATGATGCCTCACCAAGCTACAACTCTCATGACCCCACAGCATTGAGCCATAAAAGTCAAAGTGGGGCAAACTGAATTAATTCTACTGTACAGATGCACCTTAGGAAAGGGGGCTGAGGGATCAATGGGTTGAGGAAGCTCCAGGCTAATTCTCATTGTTGTTTACATAGACATCCAGAGCCTGTGCATTTCTCAGCTTCAGGGATTGCATTACAAGAAACAGGAGCTCCTGCTTTGGGCTTTTTCTGCCCTTTGTAATACAAGAAGCAACTTGCACTTGCAGAAATGACACCGTTCTGGAAAATAATCTGTCTCAAATAGCTTATCCATTTCAGATGCCAGTTTCAGATGAGAGAGCACTGCCTTGTCCCATTTAAAAACAAACACCAGGGCAGGGAGAGTGGAATATGTGTCCCTCCAGCTGTTGGGTTGAACTAATAATAATAATAATAATAATAATAATACACCTGATGAACCAGCCTGGACACAGCATATTATTTGAGAACACAGAAATGCTGGACCACCAACAACCACCATGTCAGACTACACAGAGAAGCCATTGAAATCCACAAGCATGTGGACAATTTCAACAGAAAGGAAGAGACCATGAAAATGAACAAAATCTGGCTACCAGTATTAAAAAACTCAAAATTATAACAGCTAAACAACAGAGAGGAAAAAACCAGGCACAGATTAACACCTCCCAGCAACAGATTTTCCCAGACTCAGGCAGGCCTTCAAATGCTAATGAAGGTGATCAGCTAAACATTCACACCTAACTGCAGCAGGGAAGAGCTCCTTGCCCCACCCCAGCCATTCCACAGATATATAAGCCCATTTTTCCTACTTCCAACAGACCTCAAAACCTCTGAGGATGCTTGCCATAGATGCAGGCGAAACGTCAGGAGAAATGCCTCTAGAACATGGCTCTATAGCCCGAAAAAACCCACAAGAACCTAATAATAATAATAATTTATTTCGATCCTGCCCTATCTCCCTGTGGGGTCTCAGGGCAGTTCACAACAGACAGAGGCAAACATTCAATGCCTTAAAAGTGCAATCAGAAACATAAATGACCATAATGCGAAGTAAAATATATTAAACATCAACATCAAGCATCATCCTTCATCTTTCAACTCAATCCAGAAATCTTCCTGGAAGCCAAGATGGCCAAAGTAGAGGAGACGATGCAGCAATGGATTCAAAATGGCAGGGAAAATAATTCCTCTTAAATGTTGAGACTATATGAGACTTTAAATGAAAACCATCACAAAACGTGCTATAGCAGAATGTCCCTCCTGCAGAAACAACTTTTTTTTTGCAGTTTAATAAACTTTTTCCATGGTTTTATGGTAAAACCAATTAGGAAGTAATGGCATTTATAACCCAGGAACAACAATCATCATGTTACAGAGTGTAATAGCTTTCTGAAGCCACTTCTACACTGCCATATAGAATCCAGATTATCTGCTTTGAACTGGATGATATGGCAGTGTGGACTCAGATAATCCAGTTCAAAGCGGATAATGAGGATTATCTGATTAGATCATCTGGATTCTATGGCAGTATAGAAGGGGCCTGGTGGCTGTTTTAGACATTGATACAAATCTATTGTGCCTTGTTTACCATTCTTAGGCCATACTTCATTAAAAAGAGAGAAGAAACCAGCCTCTTTAGCAAGTTTTGCAAGTAATGGTTTGTTATCCAGAAATGTTTGATCCTCGTGCCTATATTTATAACAGACCAGAAATCTAGCCTTTGGTCATAAATGGAGACCAAGTGGAGCAGGTGGCCAGTTTCAAGTCCCTGGGTGTTGCTGTGAAGGAAGATCTCACATACAGTAGCATTAGGGAAGAGGGCCCAGTAGGGACTGTAGTATTATCTGAGACTCCTAAGGAACCAACAACTGAATGGAAAACTGCTGGTACTTTCTACCACTGTGCTCTAGAGAGTGTCCTAACCGACTGCATCTGTGCAGGATTTGGTAACTGCACAGTGGCAGGAAGGTGTTACAAAGCGTTACCACTACTGCACAGAGAACTATGGGTTGCCCTCTTCTCTTAGGAAGAACTTTATAACTTCCGCTACCTTTTGAATTATTGCTCTCTGGCCAGTGGTACTGTCGTCAAGGGCATCCCAGACCCCTGCCTTCAAGTTGGGTGATCTGCAGCAGGGAGTTCCACAGTTCCTGATTGCCAAGTTGGGCCAAACTTGGGTGCCCCAGTAGCAGCCTCAACCAGGGACTCTATACAGCTGTGTGCTCTTTCCTTTCACTCCTTTGCTAGCCCCAACTATGTAACCAATCCCCAATTAAAGATTAATAAAATTGCAACTTTTAACTTCTCCAGCTTGATACTTTGTCCCTTTCTTGCCTGAAACTATCCAAATGCATGATACTAACCTTTTCCAGGCCGCGGGAGACTGCAGGCCTGCCTGGGATGCCTTCCTCGGGCCCCCATATCCGCGAGATGGCGGATCGACTCCATTTTGATGGCATATTTTTCCTGGCTAAATTCTAGCACTATCTGCTATCTTGCTTTTTGTATTTTGGGCTTCTATGCTCATTTTAAGAATATAGTTTTAAGGAAACAGCTGATTGTCAAAAGCTCAGCTTCGCTGTTGCCGCGCTGCCGCTGCCCTCGCCGCTTCTTCGCCCCTGGCAAGCCCCTGCCCTGGAGACTCGGTGTGGCTACCCCACGAGGCTTTCGGGGAACAACCTGGCCTTGGGGCCTCAGTCCTTGGAAGGAGTTGTAGTTTCCCAAGGACCAAGGACCGGCTCGATCTCGGCGCTGCAGAATTCCACCCTTTGGCTCAGTGGAAATCACCAGACTTCTCTTTGTGGCTTTGGACTTTTTGCCAAGTGTCCTGGACTCAAAAAGACTTGCTTCCACCTATGAATTATCCTTGAACGAACTATGGACTCATGTTTTTCTGAAAATATTACTTTAATCAATTTCTCTGGTGGGTGGGATAGGGAGGGGGTGCCTGATATGAATTTATTGTGATTCCTATATTTCCCCATGTATTTTCCTCATGTTTCTGACCTAGTCCTGAACCCTTTGCCCCTTCCCCTCCCCTTGGGAGAAAATCAACAAGGAAGCTGCCCTGGCTTTGAAAAGGCGACCAGCAATCACAAAAGAACTCTTATCTTGAAACTTACTGCATGGAAAATAGAACTGAAAATCCCTTTTTGATGTCGGAGTCGGGCCGTCAGATTGGGGTTTCGCTTGGCAAACTTTTAATCACATAACAATGGGGGCAAGACGACCCTCGAAAAGTCTCTTTCCCCCAACACTGTTTTTTTTCCCATTCAAAGCTCTCCACAACGGACATCCAACCCAGCCTCTTCATTGTGTCATATCTGATTGTGACAGGAACACTCGGATTAAGTAATCATTACTTATCGCTGACCCATCAAAGGACAATAGAACAAGTTTCTTTAGAAGGCCGATCCCCAGACTCAAGGAACCCCAGGACATTGAAATCCTATAATCCACTCAAAAAAGCATTGTTTCTTTTCATCCCGCCTCCCTTCTTCCTGATTTGCTAGAGTGCTGAGGCGGTAGAAGCTTCCTGATAGGCTCTAGTGCAGCAGGAGAGCTCTGTGATTGGTTCTAGCACGGGGAAGGCGGCCGCGCCTCCTCCCAGCTCTTATCACGTCAGCCAATCACCGTCGAGCCGGGAGGAGGGCGGGGAGCGGGAATTTTGAAACTTCCAAGCCTGTATTTCCTATAAAAATGCCTCTGATTTCTGTAACCACATGCTCTGCTTGGCGAATGATTGCAATATTGCATCCTTTTCAGCTGAATCACTAATAAAACACCTTGGTGCCGCTTCTTCAACTTTGGTGAGATTTCTTCTGGATTTTTAGGGAAATAAAATGGCTGAAAATCAGGCTTCTCTTTGCTCGCCAAAGTAGCGATCCCTCTTTGGTGGGGTCTCAGGGTCTCTCCTCCTGGGGTAGACCCCCCTAAAGTTCCTATCAATTTCAGTACAGGGTGACAAAGGCAAGGACAAGTAGACTGAGAGGCAGCTGTTATCCTCAAGCTGTGGCTATGTTGAACTCCATGGCTTCACATTGATGTGGCATTGGGGGCTGTGCGGTGGTGGTGGGAGTGTGGAAAGATAGGAGTATTGTTTTGTGGTCTGTGCTGGTGAAGGCAGTTAATTCAATTGTGCAATAGCACAATGACAAAAAGCTATTCTGTTCTATTCTATGTATTTGTATATATACCTGGTGTTGCTTGAGTGTCACTGGGACCACTGCCTGCATACTTTCTCCTTTCTCCAGTTCTGAGAACAACAAAAAGCTATTCTATTTTATTCTATTCTGTGTATTCGTGTATATACCCGGTGTTGCTTGAGTGTCACTGGGACCAGTGCCTGCCTGCTTTCTCTTTTCTCCAGCTCTGAGAAGGACAAAAAAAAAAGCTATTCCATTCCATTTCGTGTATTCGTGTATATACCCGGTGTTGCTTGAGTGTCACTGAGACAACTGCCTACCTTCTTTCTCCTTTCTCCAGCTCAGAGAAGGACAATAATGCTATTCTATTCTACACCAATCTGCCCAGATCTGCCCAGGCTGTCCTCATTCGTGGGCTCATACCAAACAGATTCAGGAGCCTGGCTTCCCCAACTGAGTCCAGCCACCTGGGGCCTCTTCTACGCTGCCATATATAACCCAGATTATCAAGGCAGATAACCCACATGATCTGCTTTGAACTGAATTGTATGAGTTTGTATTGCTTCAGGCCTCCCTGGGAACCCAAGAGAGCAAATGAAGGCCAGGTCGGCCTTAGGACCCAGCAGCAGCAGCAGGCTGGCTGTGTATCCAGCTGCGGCGGAGGGGCGGGGCCTCAGCGTCCTACGTCAGAGAGGGAGGATCTTAAGGGAGCACCAGGATCCTCCTCCTCCTCCTCCTCCTCCTCCCCAGCCGCAGCAGGAGCGCTGCTGAGCCGGTAAGGAAACACCGCACTGTCTCCACCTTGCCTTTTCCCTCCTTCTTCCTCCTCTTTCTCCCTTTGCTGCATCCCTCCTTCTTCCTTCCTTCCTTCCTTCCTTCCTTCCTTTCCTTCCTTCCTGCCAGCTGGCCTTTGTCCCTTTTGTTGGGCTCTGTAGGCCTTGGCGTCTGCACTGACCACAGAACGCAGACTGGACTGCATTGAGACCCTCTCGTGCAGGTGAGTGGGAAGAAGCTAGCATCTAAGCCAGCCTGCATTGCAATGCATTGCAACCTGCCTCCTTACATTAATACACTCACTAGCCCCTCTGGTTCCCATCCATACTCCTCCCTCCTCCCATTGTTGTTCCTCCTTTTGCTAGGCATCAGAACAACAACCACAGTAGTAATACTTGTGATCCATTACAAAAGCTAGCATCGTGATCTTGTTTGCTGTGTACTAATCTTGTTGTGTATCTAATAATAATAATAATAGTAATAATAGTAGATGGCGATGACAAGGCCTAGGGAACTTCCTTCCTGCAGGACCTCCAAAGGGCAGAAGGCAAGCCCAGAGTCTTGAGAGGCAGGCAGTCCCTGAGTTACGAACAAGAGCAGTCCTGGAGTTTTGTTCTTAAATTGAATCTGTGTGTAAGTTGGAACAGGGACATTTCTTAAGTGTAACTCCAGCCATATATAGATGGATAGATAGAGATAGGCAGCTCCCAAGTTATGAACGAGAGCAGTTCTGTAGGTTTGTTCTTAAGTTGCATTTGTATGTAAGTTGGAACAGGAGCATTTTTGCACTGTAATTCCAGACAGACAGACAGACACACACACACACATATACATATACATACATATAGTAAAGGTAAAGGTTTTGCCCTGGCATTAAGTCCAGTCAGGTCTGACTCTGGGGGTTGGTGCTCGTCTCCATTTCTAAGCAAAGAGCCAGCGTTGTCCTTAGACACCTCCAAGGTCATGACTGCATGGAGTGCTGTTACCTTCCCACCGGAGTAGTACCTATTGATCTACTCACATTTGCATGTTTTCAAACTGCCAGGTGGGCAGAAGCTGGGGCTGACAACAGGAGCTCACGCTGCTCCCCAGATTCAAACCTGCAGCCTTTCGGTTAGCAAGTTCAGCAGCTCAGCAGTTTAACCCACTGCACCACTGGGGACTCCATACATACATACATACATACATACATACAATAATAATAATAATAAATCTTTATTTGTACCCTGCCACCATCTCCCCAAAGGGACTTGGGGCGGCTCACAGAAGCACTCCAAGTGCCACACGCAGACAACAATACATAAGCACAAACACAATGACAGAAATACAATCAACAGTGCATAAAAATCTCATCAATAAAATCAGAAAATTTCCTTAAAAGCAGTGGAACCTGTGGGCAGACTATCATAATAATCAATCAAAGTGCGAGCCAGTACTATCAATGATTCATCACATTGCCCTGTCTGAACAGCCATGTTTTCAGACTCACCCGGAAGGCCTGAAGAGAGGGGGTTAATCTAATTCAGGGGTCCTCAAACTTTTTAAACAGAGGGCCGGGTCATAGTCCTCAAACTGTTGGAGGGCCGGATTATAATTTGAAAAAAAACAAGAATGAATTCCTATGCACACTGCACATATCTTATTTGTAGTGCAAAAAAAAACCACACACACACACACTTAAAAACAATACAATAATTAAAATGAAGAACAATTTTAACTAATATAAACTTATTAGTATTTCAATGGGAAGTGTGGGTCTGCTTTTGAGATAGGATTGTTGTTGTTGTTGGGTGCTTTCAAGTCATTTCAGACTTAGGTTGACCCTGAGAGAGGGCCGGGTAAATAACCTTGGAGGGCCGCATCTGCCCCCGGGCCTTAGTTTGAGGACCCCTGATCTAATTTCTTTAGGGAAGGTATTCCAGAATTAGGGAGCTACCACCAAGAAGGCCCTCTCTCTTGTCCCCACCAACCGTGCTCCCAAGTTGGTGGGCAGCTCCCAAGTTACAAACGAGGGATTCTGTAGGTTCATAGGGACATTTTGTAAGTGTCACTCTAGCCAAATAAAATATAATATAATACAATATAATATAGTGTATGTATATATATGCTAGCTTTGGATAGCGTAGGGAAGGGTAATGTTTCCTTTGCTGTTTGCGCCCCTGTTTGGAAGATTTCGCCCCGTCACCCTGTGATAATTTGCAAAAATTGGTTTGTTTTGGAAGCAAGGATTAAGGATAAAGCTTCACTGGAGACCCCTTTTCCCCATGATAATAATAACTCTTCCAGGAGTGGATTTTCCTTCCTTCCGAGGGGAAGATTCCTCTCACTTCCTGTTGTCTCTCCCCATTCTTAACTAGGAGTCATTTGTAAATCGTATGTTTGTAATTCAGAGACTGCCTATATTGTCATTAGGCAGTCTCAAGAAGCAGAGTCTTGGTGATGGGTAGAGACTTAGGCCTCTTCTATGCTGCCATGTAATATAGATTATCACAGCAGAAAATCCATGTCATTTGCTTTGAACTGGATTATCTGAGTCTACACTGCCCTATAATCCAGTTCAAAGCAGATAATCTGGCTTTTATATGGCAGTGTAGAAGGGACCCATTTCTGGATCCGCATGGTCAAAGTCCTTATGAATTGCATGCAGATCTTGGCTTATGTCAAACCCATTTTCCTCCGGGGATACATCCCCCTTATGGTTGCCTTCAAAGGGCCACTGAAGCCATGTGTGTACATGTGTAGGTATATCTGCCTATCTATCTTATCTATTTATCAATCTATATTACATAGTGGCCGGTGCCTTTTAGTGTTGACTGAGTTTGGGTCCCCAAATTATTGAATGACAACTTCTTCCCTTTTGATTATTGGTCCTTTTTAGCTCTTATTATTACTATTATTATTGATAATAATAATAAGAAAAGTGAGTGTTCCATGTATTGTAATCTTACAGTCTAGTGCCTTTTACTAAATGTGTTTACATGTGCTGCCTCGAGGTATGAGGAGCAACAGGTAAGAAATACAATGTAGAATTCTAATTATTATTATTAATAATAATACCAGATGGAGTAATAACTAGAATTCTGCATTGTATTTCTTACTTACTGCTGCTCATAGCTCAAGGCAGAGCCCAATATCCTTAAGGCATACCGTTGTGAAAACATTCTATAAAAGGCACATATTGAAATATATTTCTAATATTATAATACAGGGAACACACACTTTTTCCCAGTTTGGGTCCCTAGGTGTTATCAAACGACAACTCCAATTCCTTTCAATGATCCAGCAGCATCTTCTTCAGGATCAATAGTCATATTGCTTAAGCTGCAATGACGGATTACAATGGTGGGTAGCAAGAAAGTGAGATTACACTATGTAACAAAATATGAAAAATGTTCTGTTCCTAGTTCAGAAATGTTATTCCTGTTTAAATGTGTGATCTTTACTTTTAAAGTAGTTGTTTTACTCCAGAAACTTCATTTTTATAGCGGCTACAAACGAGGTTGAATTGTTCGCAGGCTTTCATGGCTGGACTTACTGGGTTGCTGTGAGTTTTCCAGGCTGTCTGGGCATGTTCCAGGAGCATTCTCTTCTGGTGTTTCGCCTTCATCTGTGGCTAATGGCATCTTCAGAGGTCCGTTGGCAGTGAAGCAAGTGGAGTGTGTATATATCTGTGGAGTAATGTCCAGGGTAGGAGGAAGAACCCTTGTCTGTTTGAAGGAAGTGTAAATGTAATTAACAAGTGTGAATAGCATGGAGTAGCCTTGCAGCTGCAAAGTCAATCAGTGAGGGTATCTGCATAGAGGTAGCCTAGCTGTTTTTGCCTGGAGGCACCTTCTGCTGGGAGGTGTTAATTGGCACTTGATTGTTTGCTTTTTGGAGTTCTTGTGTTTCTGGGTGGTATTCTTTATTTACTGTCTTGATTCTGGTATTTTTTTTTAATCCTGGTAACCAGATTGTGTTGATGTTCATGGTTTCCTCCTTTCTGTTGAAATTGACAACAATTGTGTCAGACAACACAGAGAAGCCATTGAAATCCACAAGAAGCACGTGGACAATTTCAACAGAAAGGAGGAAACCATGAAAGTGAACAAAATCTGGTTCCCAGTATTTAAAAAACCACCAGAATCAAGACAGTAAATACAGAACACCACTCAGAAACAGGGGAACTCCAGACTGCAAACAACCAAGTGCCAGTGGACACCTCCCTAGCAGAGGGTGCCAACGGGCCAGGCTATCTCAATCAGATTCCTTCACTGATTGACTTTGCAGCTGCAAGGCTATTTCATGCTATTCAAGCTTGGTAATTGCAATATTCAGACTTGCTTCAAACAAAGGTCCTTCCTCCTACCCTGAACATTATTCCACAGGTATATATACACTCCACTTGCCTCATTGCCAACAGACTTCTGAAGATGCCATTAGCCACAGATGCAGGCAAAACGTCATGAGAGTATGCTGCAGGAACATGGCCATGCAGTCCAAAAGCTCATGACAACCTAGGTTGAAACATGGGTAATGAATCAATTTAATTGTTTTAGTCATCTTGTTGTTGTTCATTCATTTCCGACTCTTCGTGACCTCATGGACCAGCCCACGCCAGAGCTCCCTGTTGGCCGTCAGTACACCCAGCTCCTTCAAGATTAATCCAGCCACTTCAAGGATACCATCAATCCATCTTGCCCATGGTCGGCCCCTCTTCCTTTTTCCTTCCGTTTTCCCCAGCTTAATTGTCCTCCTGTCTTCTCATGATGTGTCCGAAGTACTTAGTCATCTACATTATTATTTTAATTTAACCTTAATACGTGTCCAGATGTGTAGGTGTTATTTGGTGGGAGGTCCACATTCAGCAATTGTTCTGAATTGTTTCCAGCTTAATTTTCAGTTAATCAAAAATGGAATAATTTGGCTTTGTAGCTGGACTGTTTTCCCCCAAATCTCTATTTATTGGCTTTTTCATATTTGCGGATAGAGAGGCCTTGGTTTGTCTCCAGGCTGTGCAAACCACTGCTCGCCTATTTCATCAGATATAATTAGAAGTAATGTCATTAGTATCCGTTATCTCTGATCTAGGCTCTTTATACAACTAATTCTTTAAAGAAAAAAATGAAATCTGATTTGTTGGTTTAAATATCATGGGTTTTGATCAGCACCAGGTGCCTCAAAGGGCAACTAAAGTAAAGTAGGGATAGAAAGTGCCATGTGTCAGTCAATCCTGGAGCCCTG